AAAGATTTAAATTCTGAAAATTTCATGCATAAAAAGACTAAAGTAAAAGTTATAATATTACATATTTTATTTTCCTATAATTATGGGGGTAGATTTGATGTTTGAAATTTGCCAGTTCCTGTCATTGTGCACATTTCTGTGAAGAACACTCATGACTGTAAACTGAAAGTTGTCTTTATTTATATTTGCTTATAAATATAATAGAGCACAGTCCTTCTTAGCTATGAAGATCAGCTTCTCTCACTATTCTTCAAAGCACACTCGATATGTGTTAAATACATCATACCTGCTGCATGCAATGGATCTGTAAGCAACTTGTCATAGTCATCACTGCTGTAGATTGTGGACAGTGATAACAACAAAGCTTTCAGTTCTGTAAACTGGGTCTGAAATGCAGCATCTGTGAGACTGGCGCCCCCATGGGAAAATGTGTTGCGATGTTTCTTCACTCTGCCAATCTGGGCCTCCATGGACGTGTCAGTTGTCGGTGGATTCTCCCAACTGCCCTTTGGGTTTAGTGTTGTGATATTTCTTAACAAGACTACTGTGAGAGTCACATCTAAGTCCTTCAATGTCACAGTTGTGGAGGGATTCCCAGAAGGGTATAGAAGCTTCATTTGACTTGCATTCAAAACTTTCTTTTTTTTCAACTGCAGAAAAGTTTGATTTACCTTTTGGTCAATTAGAATATCAAACAACTTGCCACCATTTGACGGATCAAACAACCCTGGATAAGTTGTTTGTAACTGTGTACTGAGGACATCTTGAAGCACATCATTTGACCGATGTATCAGTAGTCCCATACGCATTGTGTTTTCTATTTCATTTCGGGGAATGGCAGCAGTTGCCATTTTGTTTTAGATCTGAAAAAAATGAATGTCTCAGTGTAAAACAAGGTAAAGGTGTTGCTGGCTTTCATAAACCACCACAAGATAATGGGAAATTTTGCTTTAATATTTAAAAGAGGGAGCCCTGTTAATATTTTCCCTGTCTTTAGAAAAGTCATACTTACAAGTTCTTTGGAAGAGACATAGTTTATATTGTATTAAGGTGGTCCTGCATCGCTTTTATTTAATTTCTTTAAAGCAAAATTGATACAATTTGTCATTGCTTCAGATATAATTAAGTTAATTAAAAATGATAAAACACAAGTCATTGTCTTTAATTTAGTTCACTAGAAAATGTTTTTAGTTTGAAGAATATAAATGAATAGATAAAGACGTATTCAGAAGTGAAACAAGGAAGTAAAGAATGTAGTAAGGGTTAAATCAGTATATAAATGTGATTACTGTATAGAAATGGTTTGAGTGCATATACTAGCTGATGTACCTGGTGATGAAATTTTTAACAAATTGCAGTCTTTAACTCACCTTGAAATGGATTATCAAATTTCTTGCTGGGGGCAAGTAACAACTACGCCTTTGTCACCTGATGTAAGGTTGTCATGTGACATACGGGTATTTTAGATGTGAAATGATAACTTTTTAATGTAAATGGAAGATTCAGCAACAAAACAATGCTAAAACTGACTGTGAATTGGTAGGCAAAATCAAATTCAAATTTGCCTTATATCCGTTGCTAATTTTTCTGATTGGAAAATTTCCAATTCTGTATCGTCATCAACTTAACTATACTTGACACAGAGATGTCATCTTGTTGTTATCAGTAATGGCGCAGTTTTGTGGAGATTGGTTATTTATCACAGGCCAAGGAGGTCATGGTGTTCTTATCATGAATTTGACTGCAGTTTACATTACAGTACTAAGTAGGTCAGCATTGTTGACTTGTTACATGTATCAATGGCTCCCCAGTTTTGGGGATTTTTTCCTATGTTAAAGGGATAAAAATGCGGCTTCTGTAAAATTATTATTCTTATCTTTTTATGTACAGACACAGATGTGTCTGTACATATAGCCATCATCTGCGTTTGTCGTCACCGTCGTCGCCGTGCACTCAGCAATAACACGATAAGTGGAATACCATTTTACATTTTGTATTCAAATTTACAGAACTGATGAATATTCATAATATGCAGGTCAAGTTCGAAAATCAGCATGATTGGGCCATTTTTATGGAAGTTATGCTGTTTTTTCACTTTTTTATGTACAGACACAGATGTGTCTGTACATATAGCCATCATCTGCGTCTGTCGTTGTCGCCATCGTTGCCGTCGTCGCCGTCATGCACTTTTACCGATAACACGATAAGTGGAAAACTGTTTTTTATTTCAGCTTGAAACTTACAGAATTGATGAATATACATAATACGCAGGTCAAGTTCGAAAATCAGCATGATCGGGTGACTTGTAGGGAAGTTATGCTGTTTTTTCACTTTTTCAGCATATATGCAGCACCGATAACACGATAAGTGGAAAACCATTTTACATTTTGGCTTGAAACTTACAAAACTGATGAATATTCATAATTCGCAGGTCAAGTTCGAAAATCAGCATGATCAGGCCATTTTTAGGGGAGTTATGCTGTTTTTTTTTTAAACTTTTTTCAACATATATGCAACACTGATAACACAATATAAGANGAGACTTCTTCTGAGTTGAATGCAACCGGAAATATATGCAGTCCCCTAAACACCCCTTTCTCTGTGTCATCCAGTGTTTCATAAGACATTTCTAAGCAGGTAAGCATACCTTGTGATGCAGGAATGTTAGGTAACTGAAGAGAGGGGAGTACTTTTTTGCGTTTCATTTTCCCTAACACTTTATGTACTGTTTTGAGCTTGATCTGGGCAGCTACCAATTTTAGTGCAAGGGGATTGTGGCCACATCTCTCTGATATTTCACCTAAAGCGTCTGTCTCACTATCTGTGGGGCTGATCATATTCTTCCCCCAAAGGACTTCACGTGAAGATGTTTTATCAAGAGGAGGGATGTCTATAGTAACTGTGGTTTGTGACAGAAGATTGAAGGATTCACGACTGGTGCATAAAAGAGCGATATGTTTTGATGAATTCATGACCTCCTCCAGTAACTGCAGAAACTCTTGCTGGTGTGAATTCAAAATGCTGTCATTATTATCAAGGATAAGGAGAGTGTCTGTTGCTAAACTAGACATAGTTTGTGTAAATTTGTTCTGATAATCACTGTAAATATCTTTCAGAAACTGATTTGGGTGATAGTGCTGCACAAGTGATAATTTAACAGAGTCAAGATTTCCAACTTTTCTCATATCAATATACAAGACATCTTTTCTGACATCTTTTCTGTGATGTCCAACCTCAACAGCTATGCTTGTTTTACCTATGCCCCCCATCCCAGTCAAGAGAATGAGTTTTTTATCTTCAACATGCTGCAGTATTTTCTGCACCAGGTCCACTCGTCCCTTCAGCTCTGGATTTCTGTTTGGAAGGTCAGTAGAGATGAGCTCACAAGGTGCTTCTGTAATTGAAAAATAAACATGCAAGAAAAAAACTTTCATCCATTAAAAAGATTTAAATTCTGAAAATGTCATGCATAAAAAGACTAAAGTAAAAGTAATAATATTACATATTTTATTTTTCTATAATTATGGCGGTAGATTTGATGTTTCTGTGAAGTACAGTCATGACTGTAAACTGAAAGTTGTCTTTATTTATATGCTGGTGGATAATCAATATAATACAGCACAGTCCCTGTTAGTTATAAAGAGCAGTTTCTCTCACTATTCTTCATAGCACACTCGATATCTGTTAAATACATCATACCTGCTGCATGCAGTGGATCAGTAAGCAACTTGTCGTAGTCATCACTGGTGTAGATTGTGGACAGTGATAACAACAAAGCTTTCAAATCTGTAAACTGGGTCTGAAATGCAGCATCTGTGAGACTGGCGCCCCCATGTGAAAATTTGTTGCGATATTTCTTCACTCTGCCAATCTGGGCCTCCATGGACGTGTCAGTTATCGGTGGATTCTCCCAACTGCCCTTTGGGTTCAGTGTCGTGATATTTCTTAACAGGACTACTGTAAGAGTCACATCTAAGTCCTTCAGTGTCACAGTTGTGGAGGGATTCCCAGAAGGGTATAGAAGCTTCATTTGGCTTGCATTCAAAACATTCCTTTTTTTCAACTGCAGCAAAGCATGCTTTGCTTTTTGGTCAGCTAGAATATCAAACAACTTCCCTCCATTTGATGGATCAAACAACCCTGGATAAGTTGTTTGTAACTGTATACTGAGGACAACTTGAAGCACATCTTGTGACCAATGTATCAGTAGTCCCATACGCATTGTGTTTTCTATCTCATTTCGGGGAGTGGCAGCAGTCGCCATTTCGTTTTAGGTCTGAAAAAAATGAATGTCTCAGTGTGAAATAAGGATTTAGTTTTGGGTAAAGGTTTTGCTGGCTTTTTTAAAGTAGGCCTTAACCACCACAAGATAATGGGAAATTTTGCTTTAACACTTAAAAGAGGGAGCCCTGTTAACATTTTCCCTGTCTTTAGAAAAGTCATACATACAAGATTTTTTGGAAGAGACATGGTACATGTATATATTGCATTAAGGTGGTCCTTCAACGCTTTTTTTTTTTTAATTTCTTTAATGGAAAATTGATACAATTTGTCATTGGTTCAGACATAATTAAGTTAATGAAAAATGGTGAAACACAAGTCATTGTCTTTAATTTAGTTCACTAGAAAATGTTTTTAGTTTGAAGAATATAAATGAATAGATAAAGACGTATTCAGAAGTGAAACAAGGAAGTATAGAATGTAGTAAGGGTTAAATCAGTATATAAATTATATAAATGTGATTACTGTATGGAAATAGTTTGAGTGCAGATAGCTGATATACCTGGTGATGAAATTTTTAACAAATTGCAGTCTTTAACTCACCTTGAAATGGATTATCAAATTCCTTGCTGGGGGCAAATGAAAACTACGTCTTTGTCACCTGATGTAAGGTTGTCATGTGACATACGGGTATTTTAGATATGAAATGATAACTTTTTATGTAAATGGAAGATTCAGCAACCAAATAATGCAAAAACTGACTGTGAATTGGTAGGCAAAATCAATTTCAAATTTGCCTTATATCCCTTGCTAATTTTTCTGATTGGAAAATGTCCAATTCTGTATCGTCACTTGACACAGATACATGTATGTGTTGTTATCAGTAATGGCAGTTTTGTGGAGATTGGTTATTTATCACAGGCCAAGTAGGATACTGTTCTTTTCATTAATTTGACTGAAATTTATGTTACAGTACTAAGTAGGTCAGCAGTGTTGATTTGTTGTCTATGGTTACCTTGTTTTGGAGATTTTTTGCTACATTAAAGGGGAAAAAAGAATCCTGGGGATCAACTTAAAAAATCACTTGTTTTTTTAGCATTCCACTCCAGCATGTGAACTCCGGCAGCCATTTTTCCCGACACACATGGGCACCATGAAACTGCGTAATTTTCATCGTCCTCCCCTCAAGAAGTATTCTCATGGACCCATGTCTCAGCACGGACCACAGGCCTTACTGCCTCTACTGAAAACTATAAGAAGGAAGGCAAAGATGAGTTATAATTGACGGTTTCAAAGTAAGACCATACAGATGCTCATCCTGTTATTGCTCTATTTTGATCTTTTTTTTAAATTCAAAAAGTGTGATCATATTAATCTTCCAGTTCTGTTTGAATTGTTATGTAAGAACAATTCCATTAGCCTGATACATAAGTTACAAAAAGGTACAAAATAAACCTTCCATCTTTGTGTCTGTGGATGTCTATGTCAGTTTGCATTGTTTGTATTAGGCGTTAGTTCGGCCTGCTAACAAAGCTTAAGTAAAGGTAAAAATGATTTAAGTACATGTAGTTTTTTTAAAGAGTGCCCAGTTAATGTCAGTAATGATAATATTTGACTTCCAATTTATCAGTGTTACTTTCAGATGAGAGAACATGAGTGACTGGCCTCTGGAGGAGGCGAGATGTTTCTCATGAGAACCCCCCAAGATCTCACAGGGATGGGTGGAGAACTGATTTTGGCAGAGTACTCGGAGGAATTCCCACCTATCCTCATGCAAGTTGACATGGCAACCAAGATAAAGAATTACTACAAAAGGGTATCTTTCTTTTGTAAAGTTTGTTAGTGTTTACCCAACTGTTAAGATCCGTTTCACTAAAACGTCACATTTAGGTGATGTTAGTTTCATCTTGGAATATACTTTGAAGACGCGTGTATTCTAAAAAATAAATAAATAAACTGAAAATATAGCACTTCAAGTTAGGTTTTTAATAAAAGTACTGGGATCCCAAAACATCACCCCCAACTCTATGTGAAACTCTTGGACATATGTATGTAGCCTAACTCAGGGGCGGATCCAGAGATATTTTCTGACAGTCTTCCAAATTATCTTTGTTGATCCAACCTCCATTTTTGACCGTCTTCCGACAGAAAAAATAGATACCCCTCAATGTAAACTTGAAAATCTGACCGTCTTCCGGAAGACCCAGAAGACGGCCTAAATCCGCCCCTGCCTAACTGTCACTCCTTTACTGATATGACTCGGGTCCTAGGAAAAATTGAAAAATAAAATAATAGATTAATGAATAAAATGGAGTAAACAGAAAAATCAGCAAAATGCAAAAGGGCAGGTGTAAGGGGGGGGGGCAACCAAGGGCCTATTAAAGGGATAATAACTCTTCGTATGAGATCTATATTTCACAATAAAAACCTTGTGAATAACTCATAGAAATATAATTTATTCTGTTTTACCACAAAAACAGCAGTTATAGCTTTTATTCTGATATCTGAACTTGTCTTTAGACCACGTGACCTCCATTGATGGCTATACTCTGTTAAAATCTCTTAAGAGATTTTAACAAAAAACCAAACTTTTTAGAAAAAAACCAGGGACTAACTTTGAATGTAAAAATGGATTCATTAACCATTGGTAAGTATGGGAAAATTGTTGTTTACTCCAGGAAAATTCATTTTTTGGCCGAAACAAAGAGTTATTATTGCTTTAATATTGAGAAGAATATTAATCAGGCCGGTCCATCAGTCCTAAAATGTAATTACGCTTTTTTACCCTCTATTTCTAAATTCTCCACAAGTTCCCATCTGCTGTTAAGGATGATCCGTATAGGCGACTCTTTTACATATTACATTTACATATTATTTTACATATCAGGCTATAATTTAAGTAACCTATCTCTCAAAAAGGAGTGCCCGCTTAAGAGTACTATAGTACCTCTCGAGGTGGAGAGGCCCTCGGGCGAGGACGGGATAGATCCATCAATCCCGCGTCTTATAATGCGTCTTTTTTATTGAGTTATATAAGTCTGTGGCAATTCTGTAGTTGGACAGCGTCTCAGAGAGCCTATGAATATGAACAAATTTAATGCTGAATACAATTGTTATAATTATTAAAGATAATTAGTGATAAGTTACAACGATAAGGGACTGTCCGACTTCCATATCTCTTTAAGATCCATCTTTAAGATAACACGTCTGAGGGGCGCATTTCATTTAAGTCACTGGTTTGTATTTCAATGGTAATTCAGAGGAAGTATGGCACAACTTAAACAACTTTTTACCGTGATTCTCTCCATTATGGAGCACAGAAAGGTGAGTTTGTGTTGAATTTTGCTGTTTTGTGGTGATGACCGATCGAGAATGTGGAAGATTTCTAAATCAATGAAAACAGGAAAGCTTTTCTAAAAGACTGATATATTTCAGGCGTATGCGTAACGACATTTATGACCTCTTCATTTTTTATTTATAGTGAAAAGGGTGCTTTGATCTAAATGCGACATGTTTTGAATCAGAAAATTGCTTTCATAGTAAGATAATGCATTACAATGGTTTTAAAAAGAACAATGTAACGCAACTCTCATTTTGTTTATTTCAGACGCATACTCAGATCTGAAAAGAGATTCACAGATTGAAAAGAAACGGGTAATATTTCTATGACATCTGTGCTAACAGTGTATGCGACATTTGAGAATTTGCCTTAGCGTAATGAGGCTGTTTTATTTCTTGCTCTTCTCTGCACTAAAAGATTTCCTAAAAAGATTTAGTTTCATTGCTGTGTCGTTTAGTAATTATATTGGAGCCCCAAGGCATGACGCATAAAATAAATGGACGTTTTGGTTATACTGTTTTAATGGATGATGGTCATCTTTCCATGTATCGCCATCTTGTAAAGTGGGGACGTGTAAGTAAGGAGTTACGGGGCTGAGTCCCACTCCTTTTTTTATCAGTCTACATCAGTAATAAGCAGAAGATGAAGGGGTAATTAGGCAGTGCGAATCAAACCCTTCTCACCGTCTCTATTACTTTTTTGATATTGAAAGGATGCCTGCCTCCCAACACACACACACACACACACACACGCACACACACACACACACACACACGACACCTGTTTCCTGCGCTCTGCGCTCTTGAGTAGACCTACACCCCGGGTGAAGTGACGAGTCAATGATGGGGATAATAATAATAATAATAATAATAATAATAATAATAATAATTTAACAATAAAAATTCAATAATGGGAATGAATTTCCCTTGCATGGTGTATAGTGCCTTACAGCAATTTAGATGGCTGTAAGCCAGTGATATTATCAAGCGACGCCTACAGAAAAGACGCGGGAGTTTGTATGACAGCCTACGGTTAAGGTGTCAGTTTCAACATCTGTTAAATGAAAATATAAAACGTATTTGAACCTAAACCCCCTACACAAACAAAAAACTCCCGTTATATTTGTTCTCTCTGTGGTGACTTTAGCGCTACACAGCTTTGTACTATTGCAAAGATGAAGGAATTTAAATTATTTTTTTCAGACAAGCGTGGACCAGAGTCCTTCTGTTTTTTCTCGATGGGATGCCATGGAACTCGGGGATGTGTCTGTTTTTGGGAAACACAGGCAGAAGAAAAGTCTAGAATGCTACTCTATCAGTCTATCTATCTATCTATCCATCTATCTATCTAACCAGATTCCCTAAACCGTAAATATCTTATTTTTCATTAATATTTTTCAATATATAACTGCTTTCAGATGCAATCAAACTGTTTACTCCTTGCACCAAGTTTAACAATTTGAGAAAAAGAAAGTTTTGAAGAACAGAAAAAACTTTTTTATTCTCTCTGTAATCTCTGTAAACATGCATTTTACGGTTCTATCCTGTTCTGTCATTCAACTTTAAACTATCTAATATTAACAGTTGGTTAATATTTCTCAATTGAAATGTTTCAGGATTTCTTACCATTGGTATTCCGTCTGTCAAATGAGCAAAGGGGACCGTGTATCTGTTGCAGACGATTTCTTACATAATAAACGTGACGTCACCAAGTGAGAGGGAGAAAATTGTTTTATTGGTGTTCCTGGCAAATTTTGATACACAATATAATGAAAATGTCTTGAAAAGTATCAGCGCAAAATTTGATGATTACGTCAAGAGTGGATTTATTCTAGTGATGCAAGTTCCAGAAAAAATTACCCTCCGTTAGAAAATTTGAAGAGGAATTATAATGATTCTCCGGAGAAAGTAAAATGGCGATCGAAACAGAATGTTGATTATGCTTTTATGTTTCTGTACGGAAGAAATATTTCAGAATACTATATTCAGATTGAAGACGATGTGATTCCAGCCCGTGGATTCACCAAAGACATACGTGCTTTTATCATAGAAAATAGCAAAAAGCCATGGATATGTTTAGAATTTTCTATTCTTGGATTTATTGGGAAACTGTTCAAGTCCAAAGACCTGGAAAAATTTGCAAGGTACTTGATTTTATTTTACGACGAGCAACCTTGTGATTGTCTTATCGATCATTTCCTAACTTCGATGACTCAGAAAAAGCGCATCTTCCACAAACAGTCTTTATTCCAGCATCAGGGGGACTGGTCTTCTTCGGAAGAGAAGTCCAGGAAAGGACCTAATATGTCGCGGGACATTTACTTCAAAGATAAACAAGGAAAAACCACTCAAGGGACGCCAAAAGGAAAGTCGTGACTTGCAATTACACTTCTGTAGCTTAATACAAGGAGCAAAAACGTTCTTCCAAAATATTTTTAAGTAAGCTTTTTTTTTTTTACTTTTCAAGATAAGAAGGATAGAGGTTGTATTTCGTGGTACGAGTACGGGCACTACATGAACTTTTTTCAAGTATGCATATCATTCACTCTACTTATTTTGTGTACTGTCATATTGACATATCTGGATATAGATCGTCAGAGGACTAGTCAGCGCGTTAAACAATCAACTTAAAATCAAAGATATCTTAAATAGTAAAACAATTACTTGGAGACAAAATAAGTTTGTTCCCTGACAGAACTGACGCGGACGGAAGAGCACAGAACTAACTGGTTATTTCATGGGTCAGTAAAATAATAAGAATCCCAGTTAGCATTCCCAGGGAGATTTGTGTCTTCCTCGATAGTACCTCCTAGTTCTTCGGTCCTTTCGCTATATGGGCTACATCTCCTATACATAAATCCAAATCTGCATTTATAGTGAGAGACAATAGCATTTTGATGATAACTAAAATATGTAAACATATATTGCACTTGCATGTCGAAAATTGTATGCAAGATTTGGTCGCTGCACAATGTTTTCAATACAATAAAAATTCTGTGTAGTTGAAGCTCACATTTTTTTGTGTTTGTAATATAAAGTACGTTTTGCTTGAGATTCCGCACCCTTGCTAGTTCGACACCTATAACAAACAGATACCACATTGATAGAAGTGACCATACCCTCCTACATAATAAATTCATCACTTCTTTGGTCGCTTGGTTTATGAATTTTTGCTAACGTTGGGCTTTGACAATATTTGATAGTTAACATCAAATTCATACACCAGTGTTAATGAGCTAAATTAAATGTTGGAGCCTTTTCTTTTGGCTCACATTTGTGAGAATGGGCGAAAATTCGTTTTCCAGGCGATCGCAAGCTCTGTGTACATGTAACAGGAGCTTCAGCAGCATTAGATCTATTGATCAGTCTATGTTTTTTCATAATTTTGATATGCTTTTTCGTCAAAAACTTTCTGATCCCAAAAGTTTAAACTAGCGCTTTTAGTCACTAAAATAACGAAACAAAAAAAAAGTCAAATGTGGTGAAGAGAAGAGGAAATACTGAAATACGATGTAGGCCTAAAAACCTAACAAGTACGCTAGACACGACACAGCAATCAGTTCTAAACTTGAAATTAACTGCATGGGAAAAGGTATAACTAAAAAAGAACTTTCTATGATACACGTACAAGCCGTCATTTTAATAAGCGCCCCAGACCCGTATAAGCGTTCATAACCTTCGCGTTATGTCTGGGACCGAGCGTCAGCGAATACTCTTTTAGTTTTACTCTTTGTACAACGGTAACTGGAAACTGTAACAGTGGCAGTGAATGGCAGGACCAGGCCTACGGCAACTACAATATAATCTTGACACCAGACTTCTTGTTTCATATTTGGCTCCGTATATTTTCCAAATTATTTGTCATTTTGGTGAAAATAGCCATTTATATGCTTAAAAATAAAAACGCACAAAAATTGGCGTACGTTGAAATAAAAATGATGGGATTCGGGCAAAAATTATCTTGCTATCTTACTCGAATGGAATATCTTATAAGTGTGAATTTAAGCTACCCCTGACTCATATTCGCAGCAAATATAGTATGTCCATACATGTAGAAGCAATCTACTTCTCTGGTATGTCTTACAACCCAGTGTGAACACAGCAAAATGAGGATTTTTGTCAACTTTCCAACATTTTAACAGTATTGACTTCAGTGCCGGTTGCTTGTGGCCCAGTGGTGATAACTTTCAACACAAAGATGCAAAATTCAACCTAGAGATAATACAATATCATATAAGGCTTATATTACATTACATTATTATAGTACATCTTTTTATTACGTTGTGAGCATTATAAAACATTTAAATGCACAATGTATTAATAAATGAGTAGCACGGGTTACATTTACCATAGCATTGAAGATCTGCATAGGCGTATTAGTCCTTGTTAATTATATAAACCACGATCATCCACGTACTTAATATATAATATATAATTTATATATATAATAGCGTACCAGGTGTGTCTTTGGCAAGGAAAGTGGTGGAACTATGGCAAGGTTAATACTATTACAGCGTTTAATTGCTGTTGGATTTTTATTTGCAGTCTGTTTATATCTTGTAACAGTCAAAAAATTTCACAGGGAGGTTCTGAGTAAAGGGGGGCAGAAGGGTGAGTTTATGACGAACTTTGCTTTACTTTGGCTGCAGAATGTCTTGATCTTCTTCTCCTTCTTCTGTATCTTTCGGGCCTGTCCCTTTTCAGGGGTCACCACAGCGGATTATCTGTCTCCACCCACACCGGTTCTGCGCATGGTCATCTTCCACTCCCATCTCTTGCATATCCCCTTTGATCGCATCCATAAATCTTTCCACTGGCCTCCCTTGTTTCCTCTCTCCTGGTGGTTTCATTCCCAGCATTTTTTTTGTCCCACATATTTTTCTTCCCGCCGTCTAAAATGCCCACAGCAGTGAAGTCTCCACCCCCTTGCTTTGTCACCGAGCTTTGTCTTCCCTAGGATCTCCCTCACCTTCTCATTTCTCAATGTTTTTGCGTGTAATCCTTAAGTGCCATACCTAAAGAAAAGTGTAGCATCTTTATCCCCCTACTTCCACTTTCTCTTCTTGGTTTTTTGTTATTGGTACTATTTCCATTCCTGATATAGCATATATGTTTTTATGCACTGGCGGATTTAGAGGGGGGGGGGGTCAGGGGAGTCCTGCCCCCAACCCCCCCTTTGGTTTCTGAAAAATATATCACACCGATATTCCCCTCTTGAAATTAGAATTTTGACTAGCTAAATTATAGTTCTAAACAGTTCCAAAGGGCACTGTTAGTTCTCCAAATTACCAAAAATAATTCCGGGGCCCTTGGGCAGGCCCCAAATCCCACATCAAGGGGGCGATTTCGGCCTCACATCCGAGGCCTGTCGTTCCAGACCCCCCTTCAAATAATCCTGGATCCGCCCCTGTGTATGTATGCAATTAGCTAAAAAAAAAAGCAAACTAATTCATGAATCTATAATTCTGTTAATATTGAAACTAGAGGCACATTAGTATGCGACACATTATAATCAAGCAATTTGCTTCCTTAAAAGATAATATACATGCAATTCAATGGTTTCTCAAGGAACAATGTAAATCTAATGTAACATTCACTTTGCGTATTTCAGCCTACTCCTCAGATCTGACTGGATATTTATCGATTGAAAAGAATCAGGTAACATTTTTTATGAATTTTGTCAATTCCTTGAAGACTTAACCCCTGAAAAACGCTTATACGCTTTCGTGGAATTAGCAGCATATTATAAATCGATTCGGCAGCTTTAGGTGCACTGTTAGGTCAAGCAATTCTAGGATGTGAAATATTTGCAGGATTGAGCAGATTTTTAAAAACAAGGCGTTTACTGCTAGTGATATGATATAATGGATGTTGGAATCTTTAAAATATACATATGTAAAACATTACCCTTCAAGTCATTATACTGCATGATGTATGAGTACAAACTTCAAATCGGGTTAAGCCAATGTTTTTTTAACTTGAAAGGACAATGATCTTTAAAAATTAAAAAATTAAAAATTACATTAAATCACGATATAATTTATCACATTTTTCTTTCTTGAACCAATAGTCTAATTTTTCCACACTTCTTACATAAAAGGTGCTAAGTAAAGAATCTCCTCTCTCCCTCGGGATGATGGGGTTACACTGGCATGAAGGACATCTCTGTGACCTAAGCCTCGGAAAAATATTCCTGTTTTTTTTTTCTTTTAAAGAAGAACTCCAGTCCTTAACATTGCTCTGCTGTAAAACCCTGGTCCTCACATGATGTATTTAATGACCGCTATATACTGCTCCTGAACTGGGGTTGTGGCACAAGGTCGCACTTACCTACCAGTATGTCTGTTGACTAACCCCCTGTCTCCATTAACCGCTGACTCGGCCTATAAATCACTGAACGACTTACTTTTTGTCTTCAAACAGCGTCTTGTATACCAAAGTCTGCATTCAATAAGTTTATGTCCCTCCTTTTTCCCTCGAGTGACAAACCACAGCGTTGGAACAATGACTAGAGAATGTGTCAATCGAGGATTTTGCAGGGTAACTCACACGATGACTACTCAAAGACGTACCGCCATAATTGCAAGCATGCTATCTTTTCACTAGTACCTCAATTTTTACCCGGGCATAACCCTAACTTTTTTTAGCAGTACTAGTATATATTACTACTGTATCCCGAGTGGTCAGATCGGGCCCTTTGGGTTATCTCAGGCCCCATTCAGAATAGGGGACTAACTAGTCTGAGGGTCAAATATGTCTGACCATGAAATAAAAACCATTTGCTTTAAGTATTGTTATTGGTGCGACTGTTGCAAAAGTTTTCAGAAATTAAACGATTCCTTTTTAGACAAGTATGGGCCAAAGTCCATCTATGCGTTCTCGATTGGATAATGTGGAACTCAGGAATGTGTCTGTTTTTGGGAACCACCGACAGAAGAAAGGTACAAAATGCTAAGCTGTATCTCTTTTCCTACTTTACTTTTTCCTTCATTCGGCCTGCACTCTTTCTCTCTCTCTCTCATCACCTTGCATCAGATCTATTTTCGAATCAACACCTTTGGAAAGAAAAATGTATAATATGAATGCCAAACGATTTAAGTAAAACAGATACAACCCCTTTTCTGTTTGTTCGTAATGTTTCAAACCTTTGCATTAAGTTTTACAATTGGAGTCAATGGTGAGTTTTAAAGTTTGAATCAAATACTTCAAAGGAAAAACTGCTACATTCTTTAAAAGGAAAACTGATCGATTACGTGACCTCTATACTATGACAGTCCAGTCAAATTGGATATTTGCTTTCAAATGCCTTTGTCTCCATTAGATTGTAAAACATATAATATTAACTAACTTTTAGGTTTCCTTACCATTGGCATCCCGTCTGTCAAACGACCAAAGGGAACTATGTATTTGTTGCAGACGATTACCTACATAATAAACAGGACGCCTGCAAGTGAGAAAGAGAACATTGTATTACTGGTATTCCTGGCAAATTTTGATACACAATACAATGAAAATGTCTTGAAAAATATAAGCGCCAAATTTGATGACTACATCAAAAGTGGATTTATTCTAGTGATGCAAGTTCCAGAAAACAACTACCCTCCATTAGAAAATTTGAAAAGGAATTATAATAATTCTCTGGAGAAAGTAAAATGGCGATCGAAACAGAATGTTGATTATGCTTTCATGTTTCTGTACGGAAGAAATATTTCAGAATACTATATTCAGATTGAAGACGATGTGATTCCCGCTCTTGGATTCTTCGAAGACATACGTGCCTTTATTTTAGCAAATGACAAGACTCCATGGATATGCTTAGAATTTTCAGTTCTTGGATTCATAGGGAAATTGTTCAAGTCCAAAGACTTGGAGAAACTTGCAAGGTACTTGATTTTATTTTACGACGAGCAACCTTGTGATTGGCTTATTCTCCATTTCCTAATGTCAATGACTCAGAAGGAACATATCTACCACAAGCAGTCTTTATTCCAGCATCAGGGTGAATGGTCTTCTTCGGAAGAAAAGTCGAGGAAAGGACCTAAAATAAAGCTTGACATTTACTTCAAAGATGGTAAAAATAATCAGACAATAGGTGCACAAAGAAAAGTGAAAATTAAAATCCCACGTTGAAATTCCCTTTAACCTACGTGGATTTGTCTTATGGGTATGGCATTAGTATTCGAATTTATTGGGATTTAACATGGAGGGGAATTTTATATGTGGGGGCTCACTTTAGTTAATTTTGTTTATTTTACTAAAATCTTGCTCTGATTTCTCGTCATCATTATGCCAACATTGCAGAATTACGCTCGTATTTTTTTCTGTTCAATTCAATATTTTCCATTTACCGTTTGATATCACACGGGCCTCTATAAAAATATACAGAATTGAAAAGAGGCGGGTAGGGGCGGGGTAGTAGCTTGAGAGTAGACATGTTGCTTGATTGGATGAGATCCCACAGGGGCTTCCTCTTCAATTTTGTAAACTTTCTAGAGGCCATATCGGAAACAATGATTTTTTTAAGTGGCTGCTATCGTCCCGTGTCCTCATAGAGTATCTTCCAGCCAGGACGTGGACGTGGGATTTCACAGACCAATCCCATTCTTTATTGTGGGCAGTGTTCAATAAACTCACGCGCTTCAAGATAATGGGGTAGTTGCTCTTCGTTTACTGCTGTATTTGGCGCCAATGATGAAAAAAAGTTAAAACAGCTTTAAAACGAGCGGGATTTTTTTATCCGAGTTCATTACAAATATCATACGGACGATAAAGTAGGCCTACCATTGACACATAATTGTACCCAGAAGAAATACTCGAAAATTCACACAGCTGCTGTGGTTGAATTGAATATTTTAAACTGCTGTGGTAGACTGAACCCTCAAACACCGTAGGTTGATATTGCTCGCTTTCATATACAGACACTGTGTGAGACTGAATAACTTGGGGTTTCCACACCTAGATCGATCTAACAGGATCGATCCATCTCAAAGGAGTTTCTCGCTAAATTGCTTTTAGCTTAAGCGTCTAAGATGTCTTGCATGCCTACTGAAGCTGTTAAACGATAGTTAATTACCCCCTAACAGCCTCAGTATGCGTGCCAGACATCTAAGCCGCTTAAGTTGCTTGCAATTTAGCGAGAAACCCCTTGGAGATAGATCGATCCACAGTTAGTACGATAGGGTCTGGGAATGGTCCCTTAAAATATCCTTGAGATTTGACAACAGGGTCACAGTAGACAATTGTGTCAAAAATAAGCCAGAGACATATTTGTGAATATCTAGTGAAAGAAATCTGTGACTCTGTGTTACTGACTAGGTCACTGAATCTGCGTGTCCCCGTTATTGCCTTGTCCGTTTAACGCACTTATTTTTATTTCGAATTTACTGATTGTCTTTGGTAATCATGAAGGCTCCTATCGGAAATTAAGAAAATCGGATTTTGAACCACCAGGTACATATAGTTTTAGTCTGCCGGCTCCGCCAGATATACGCCCATAGTTGTGTGATGCAAACTTTGTTGTTTGTTGCGGATAGCTGTTACACGTCGCGGTTTGTTGCCGCAGTTGGAAACGTGTTCCTAATTAAGCCAATTGCTTTAAGACGACGCCCTTTGAACTCTGCGGCCAGTTCAACAGTCAGCAGGCTTTGCAAGACAAGATAGAGGAGAAGCTGTATTATCCCTGATATCAATGCCGCAGATCGTGCTGTAGCCTATCTACAGGACTTTTCACGTTATATTTGCTGGGGTTGTATGTTGAGTGGGTAGGTATGCTTCAACACGGGTAGGTACGCTTCTACACGCTCTCTGCAGGGGGAAATCCTCTACCAGGGCGACAGATTGATTTTCCACAGATATTCACAGATATGTCTCTAGATAAATAGACAGTCATTTTGGTCGCTTCAGCCAAAATGTCCACAATAATAACTGCGGCCCTGGTAGAGGGTAGAACGGGGATAAGATTTTTGAGGAAAATCGAGATAATGTAACCATTATCAAGGTGTATTTAATTAATCGTTTATTCCTGTACTTATTACGCTTATTTGAATTTATATCATATTATGGCTTGTTTTTCAGGGTCATTTTTTCCTACGTTCACTCACGTGACTTATAACAACTTGTTGTGTTGCTTAGTGCAGTTTGCTTTGCGTTATTTTGTTAAACTCCTTTCGTAGTGTAGGACGTTCTGTCGTGTAGTGCGTTGCTCAGTGTTGATACCTTTGTGAAACTTTCCGAAAGCTTGAAAGTTACAGTTTTACTTAGTACTAAAATTTATTAGATCTATTTTATATTCTTTAGTAGTTTAACCCTTTTAGTTTGATGTTTTTCTTTGTTTTATGAATGTTTAGACTTACAATGTTTCTTATTTTACACTTCTTTTGTTGAAGTTTAATCTCACTTTCATTTGGAAGACTGTTAAAATAAATTTTGATTATATTAACACATTATGTTAGTTTTTTTCATTAACAATAATAACTAAGTAATTCCATGTGTTCATTTCTTGTTTTTTATCACTCTTATTATTGATACGCACGCATCACTCATTGGTCAAAACTTTCCTGACCGCCATTTTTTTAGTTTCAATGCTCAGAAGTCACTCAGCTGCCCATCAATTAAGACGTGCAGGTCAACTGCATCAACTTTTTCTCATCTTATCACATGCACAGCGATGTACAGATACTTAAATTATTTAAGATTCAATATATTCAGCACTGTAATTGTCCAAGCAGTAGTTATAGAACCATAAAAGTTCTCCTGATAAACTGATACTTTACCGGCCAATATTCCGTCTTCTGACTTTATCAGTGCCTGGTGCGGTGATATATGTAACAACTTCCACAATACCCTTTCCCCCTCCCCCCCCCTCCTCCCCCTCCTCCCCCTCCCCCCTCCCCCCCACACACACACCCTCTTCCTGCCCCTAATGTGAAGTTTTTTCTCTCTCCTCTCTTGTAACTCCAGAGATTGGGTTGATAATATTGTCATACGGTATAAATAAACAAGTTAATGCGCTCCAACTTTCTATTCTTATGTTATGTTATCATATTTTTAACAATCTGTTGTGGTTGTGGGCTGTCTTGGAGAAGCGCCGTCCAGGTGTCTGGGTAAGCGCGCGTGATGCGAATAGAAGCTCTCCACGACGAGATACCTGGCAGGACATGCCTGTGCGTTCAAGTCCTCAAAATGCGATTATTCCCCTGTCATTCTATATATCTACTTGATTGTAACACTTCGTAGCTGATATTCAGTACCAGTGCTAGAGTAGTTATTGGAGCAAGAAAGTGATTTCAAGAGTGGACAGATACATGGACCCTACAAGTGGACTATAATAAGGTAGGCCCAAGTTGTCTCAGGCCCGTAGCCAGCAATTTCAAAAGGGGGGGTTCTTTTTCTGAAAAAGTGGACCCTTTTCCATATAACCTTCATGTACCTAGATCAAATTTTACCCAGAGTGGACCTTTTCCCAGCAAAAGGAGCGGTTCTTTCGAACCCCCCGAACCCCCCTGGCTACGCGTCTGTGTCTACGCTCCTGATCAGGGTGTAACGAACGCCGTTAAGTGTCACTGCCACTTAGACTGTAGCTACCACAAGGATAAGTAACTTTAGCCACTCGGGTTCACTTCACATCAAAGGGAAGTAGGGCCTACTCACGTAACAGCCTGACGTAAGTAGATAGCCGACAGATTCAGTTCTGAAGGCCTGCACGACTAAAATCGAGGTTTATAGTCAAAACCGTCAATGGAGAGAGAGAGAGAGAGAGAGAGAGAGAGGAATGGGTTTTTAATTGACATTTTCGATGCAATTGTTTATAAATCCAACAAAACTTTTTCTCGTGCGCCCTCGCAGATTTTCGAGGTAGGCCTATTGTGACGGAGTGGAGAAAACAGTTTGATCAATGTTGAAGAAGTCTACACTCGGAGTACAGTGTACAGTGGTATTGCTGGCCAGTATTTCACAAGTCTTCACGAGTTATACATATCCGTATGCAAGCACACTTTCTTTGTAAATCGGTGCACATTCCGAGGGGTACTCCCAGTGAAGACGGCGTTGCACACTTTTCAGAGATAGTCCAAGCGACGCCCCCAACATTCCACTACACGCGTACGCCAACAACGCCCTCCCGATGCCAAGGGCACGTGCCGACAACACCTCTGTGATTTTGCGCTGACACCCTGACGATGACATTTCAGAGGAAGCACGCCATCCACGCCCCTGTGATTCTAAATAGCGGGCTGGCAACGAACCTTAGGTGCTACCCCACCCACCCTGCACTGAGTCCACTCCCGGATGTGTGAGCAGTACTCTAGTTATTCTAAACTGAATGATTTGTCGATATCTCCGGCAACGCCTAAATACAATCGCCGTGGAGACCAGCCATTCGTGGTAGACCTGAAACACGTGTACGTTGCCTAAGGGTATTTTTTATATCCGTTTGTGAAGGCTCTCATAGCCATATGAACATTTATATTTCATGTATTTGATCGCGTGCGCAAATAACGGTGTGAAAATCACATTATAGGACAGTTATCACCGGGATTACGCATCTTCTCTGAGGACGAAGTGCGAAGTGACTCTCCCGAAAAGGTAAGTGAAGATCTATTTGTCATTTGCCTCGTCGTTTTGAGCCATCTGACACCAGTGTCGGATTTTTTTTTTTTTTTT